ATACGAGTTCTGAGTCCGTTCCATCATGAGTCACAGAAATAGACTTGCCAACAAGCGTTTTGTTGTCAAACTAGCCGTGAACAGTCTGAAGTTGGTTACTAAGCCGACGAAAATCATTAGCAAAATGTGTAACTCAGCGCAAGACACATTTCAGATTTGTAGAATCGAAGAAGTCACGATCATGTTCGTTTTGAAGAGGCAATCCTTGTGAAGGACGTGGCTGTCAAGTGACAACGTAAAGATAACGAGGCCTACACACACAAGTAACCAAAACGGCACACCTTTTTTGGCTGGGCTTGTACTGAAAATGTGGAAAGTAGCATGACTTGAGAAGTTGCGTACCTGTTCAGGCGGCTCTGCGAGTCGTGAGCTCCGGCTGCATCGGGTGCAAATATGGTGATCGGTTCTCCACTGGCATGATGTAGACCTTTAAAACCGTCAATGAATTCATCTGAAACGGCTGAAAGCAAAATAAGTGGATTGACGCCTTTCGATAGAATAAAAGAGAGCTGCGTCAACAAAAGACCGTGGGGTTTACTGGAGCTATTGGCCGCAATCGGCATGTGTGCCAAATGCCATCACGATCGGCCATTTTAGGGTAGAGAATAGAGCATCCGCAAGCGCAAGCTCCTTTTTCTTGTAAACAGGAAAGGCTAGTTTTTCCATCGAAAAATTGCTCTTTAGTCCTAATTAGCCACCCCAAGAGTGATAGGCAACTCCGGCTGATGAAGATCCCAATTACAAATCATTTTCATTCGACCATGCATAGAACGAGTCAAAGTACCAAGCGACTACGGCTGGGGCCTCACTGAACCCAAGGATGCCGTAAAAATACACTCCATTATGGACTACATTGCAAAATGTAGTGTCAAATTAACTACACTCCTTGTTTTTTTTTCTTAATGAGCTGGCCAGGTATGGCAGCATGAAATTATAATTAACCAGCCTTCCTACCTAAAAGGATGATTGCGAAGAACTACTAAACCGCGAATGTAACCTCAATTACATGTAGATGCGATGGCAAGCTCAGCTAAAAACTAACTTTCAGTCTTATCCCAACTCGAGGGTTCCCCATAAAAGAATCAGAAAATAATGGCGCCCAGATGATAAAGCGAAGACCATCGTTTATCCCCTAAAATAGGCGTTTTGGTTAACATGACTTCAAATCATGTACCGAGTAAACGAGACTTACGTAGGCCCAAAATGAAGATGTTATTAAAGCAAATTTCGGGAATATGGTAAACTTTTATCGTTAGCCCCAATGGCTCACATTTTAATTAATCTTAACATGACATCTCTGCCAAACTTATCGAATTTCCATCTAGTCTATTGTATACGAGCTTTGAGCAAGAATCAAATCAAACGAATTGAGAGTATTGTTAGGGCGACTTTCATTTCGTGTGAAAGTGAATAAAGAAGAGATTCATTGGTCGATCTTACCAGCTGAGGACAGATGAATATCGTTTGGCTTTTGTACGACGTTCATGTTGACGCAGTCCGCAAGAATTCGTCTCTCGTTTCGGGTGAAAACGTGCTGAGTTTTCGTCCATCATATGATGGACATCATCAAAGCTGGGTTTCATTTTTGTAAGAGTCTCACGTTAACAATGGGCCAAGAATACTATCTGGCTCTATCTTACTTCTTATGTAGACTCGATTGAGCCCTAAGGAAATTAAAAAATCTAGATAGATAGATGTAAAGTGATTTGGTTAATTATCTTTTATGCTGGTCCTGTTACTTTTGCTCAATTGTATGCGTATGTGTATGTGTGCGTGTTAGCGTCTATATGCAATACGGTTCCTAAATCAGAGTTGTCAAAGTTTGAATCGCAGGTCCTGCTCCTCAAGACCAAATGACCCAAGAGAAAGCCTTGACTGAGACTGCGTAGTTCCCTAAACAAGTATGGTTGAGAAAATTAAATATAAGATTGTAAGCATGAAAATCAAGTTACGAAAACACTTGTCCTAACCTTACAATCAAGTGTCATTAACGTTTAACCCTCCGAGGAAAGGCAAGACTGGGGTTGTGTAATCTGAGAAGTCTGGCTTGGTTGATGAGCTCAATATAACATGTTGGACGAATGTGAGTGAGGTTAGAACCATCACCGAACAGACTAATTGAGTCGCATTCTTTTGGACGACGGCTCAACACCCTTTCTCTCTTTCAATCCATCAATTAAGCATAAGTAATTCCTACTCAACTTTCTACCTCCGTTCCTCACATTCCACGTACTTCCTAAGTCATCAATTTTAATGGTCTCTCCTTTCTTTATTTTATCACAGACGTACCATAATCAGCAAACCTACTAGTTTGAGAATATTATATTTCATGTCCAGTTTCTACCATGTGTTCGGCCCCTTTTGACAGTTTGACCCAGCTACCTTTGCAAGAAATTTTGAATTCTAACAATCTTTGTCGAATAAGTCGGCATGTCTTACCAACATAACATCGACCACATGAGCAAACAATCTTGTAGCAGTCGGATCTCGATAATGGTTTACAAAGAGGG